GGGCTCCATACTGATTTTTCAATCTGAAGTAACACTGGATGTTGGTTGTCCGAAATAATTGTGGGGGAAATCTTGCTAGTGCACGTGATAGTGTATCATTCGTCAGAATAAGAGAACGCAATTGCTTAAGTGTTGCATGCTTTTCGTATTGATCTGTTCAGTTTTTCTTTATCTTGGTGTCTTGGGTCTCCGACCCATTCTGTCAGACACATATTGATCATATTGTCAGTGATTGAATGATAAACTGTGAGCAACAATGGACTTCAATGCATTGGCTTCCTCAGAAATAAAAATGTCTTTTGTTTACTAATTTATGCAGGAGAGAAGTGTGGACTTGCTAGTAGAGTGTCTTTTAAGGGAAACATTCAGATGACTGGTAATTTGACACCTGCTTGACGTTCCCATTTGTAATTTGGAGTGGCTGCAGGGGCAATCCTTTTTTTTCTTCAGTTGAGAATGTGTTTGGGTTTTTTTTTAATTTAGAAGCAATTTTCGTTTTTCCTTCCTCTCAGGAACCCCCCTCCCCCCAAAAAAAATCTGACTCTCCCTCCACCACTCAACTCAATTCGCCTGTGTAGGACTGTTTCTTAGTTTTCGTTTTAGTCGGAGTTTTACGGCACTTGCAGCCCAATTACGTAATGCTAGTGAAGACGATTAGAGGTGCTACAAGAGAGTGACATACAAAGAAAGGAAGATGGAGAGATAAGGACGACGGACGTTTGATAGGAAGGAAAGAAGGAGCAAACCACACCAAAGCATCCGCAAACCTCTCACTGTACTGTTTGAATTCCTCAGACTGCTAACAAGATACAGGAAAAGAGAACAGAGAGAAGGGAGTATCTCATTTCTTGCACAAGACCAGAAGGATCAGAGACCTAGAATTTCCCTCTTTGGTACCACAAACTTCCTGGTAGGTGTGGGGTTTTTTTTTTTATTGCATGTGTGTGTATGTGTGTGTATGTGTGTGTGTGTGTGTGTGTGTATGTGTGTGTGTGTGTGTGTGTGTGTGTGTATGTG